CCCTATCTAAGCATTACATTCCCCCTACTTGTAAAGATATATCTAGCCTCATCTGCAGAATTTACTTTTGGAGACGATGCAGAGTACGAACAACAATTTCAGGAGTCTTTTGCAATAAGCTCGGGCATACTGTCGTTGTTTGCAGTGGATGCTATTGGGGCATTTCAGTTCTCGTCAAATTTCTCTATCAGAATCAAAGCTATTCCCTGCAACCAAGTGTTACAGTGAATTTTAACAACACGCTTTCGTTTCAAACTGCAGGAATTATTACCCTTGCCGATATGCAAGGCGCGGGCAAACAGTTGTATACGGTGTTTCTTGGGCCAAAATGGACACCGGTACCGGGCTTTAGCCTTTCTCTGTATTCTAACACAGAGCTTAGCACAGATTACAGTTCTGAGTATGTAGTACGCAGTACTGTATTGCTGGATATCATGTATTCGTTTTAGAAGGTAGCGCCAAGCAAAAAGGATGTATGCTTATTCTTGTTTATTCTTGGTTAGTGCGTATTAGTTTTTTTACACATACTCGGTTTATTGCAATGAAGAGAAACAGAAAGACTAGTAGAAGCAGTATACATACAATAATACGTATCATAGGTTCCTGTATCATAAAAAACAGTACATCGGCAATACGAGCAATGGAAAAAGGAGAAAGAAATACGTCTAGAATTGTGGATTGATGAAGACTGACATGCGAAAGAAAATAGAGTAGTGCAAAAAGCGTTACAATAGAGCTGAGTAGAATACATATATGTACTATAGGTCGTGTTTTTTCTATTTTCATGTACTTTACAGTATAGCATATATAAGCGTTTGTGAGAAGCGCAGTCATAGCACAAAAGAAACAAAAGCAGTGTTGTCATGGTATTTGTAAGCTAGGCATGGTACATGCTATGGTACATACTGTATAATGAGAATATGAAAACAGTACAAGGGACGATCACACACATAGTGCAAGAATTACACACAAGACACAGAACAGGTACCTTGTGTATCTCGTGTAACATCAAAAAAGCAGTAGTAGCGATTCTTCTCTTTATTGCTTTTTCCTCCCTGTTTTCTTGCTCGCAACAACGATCCGCAAAGGATACAAGCCTTCGAGTAGTGTTGAGTGCCAACCCCGACAGTTTAGACCCACAGAAAACATCCGCAACAATAACATCTCAAATAAATAACAATATATACGAGTCTCTTTTTCAAGCGGACGGAAATTCCTCGCTTGTACAAGAAACACGTATAGAAAACAATGGTCGTACATGGAAGCTTACTCTCAAAAAGGGTATACTCTTTCATCATGGAAAAGAATTGCAAGCAGAGGATGTGAAGGCAACATTCGAACGATTACAGGCAGAGGAAACACAGTCGCCCTTTTCTGGTCAATATGAGTACATAGAATCGTTACGCGTGCTTGATAGTCATAGTATTCAGTTACAATTATCAGAAGTCCACGCGGGTTTTCGTTCTCTTTTAAGTGCGCCCGAAAGCGTTATTTTGCCCAGCGATAAAATATATAGCGGTCACAATTTTGCTACCCAGCCTATAGGAACCGGCCCCTTTGCATTTTCTCAGTGGAAGCAAAATCAGGTAATTATTCTTACTAAAAACGCAGAGTACCCTCACCCAGCACATATTGATCGAATAGATTTTGTTGTAATAAAGGATATTGCAGCACAAATACAAGCCCTTGCTTATAAAGAAGTGGATATAGTACCTTACATAGGGCAACCCGAAAGACTACAATTGCAGAACAACAATGATATAAAAATTGTAGAAAAACCAGGATCTACTATATTGCTTCTTGCTTTCAATGTGCGAAGAAAAGAGTTATCTACCCCCGAAACGCGTAAGGCGTTTTCTCAGGCTATCGATAAATCTGCGGTAATAGATATAGCATACGATGGAGGAAGGGAACTAAATGTGTTTTGGCATTCCAACAGCGAGTATTTTCTTAACGACACGTCTTTTGAATATAATCAAAAGATGGCAAGAGAGTATTTTACACAGAACCCAATTGTAAGAGAGCTTCGCATTGCGGTTCCTAATGCCTTTGCTGCCCACATAAGAGCAGCAGAAATGTATCAGGAAATGCTAAGAGCAGTGGGGGTACGTACAAGCGTAGAAGAGCTAGATTGGGGTACCTGGCTTAGTAGGGTGTACAGAGGAGCAGACTTTGATATTACTGTTATAGGACATACAGGCAAGTTAGACCCCGACCAGCGTTTACGAAACTTTGGGAATGGTGAGTCATATGTGGGGTGGCGAAACAGTGAATATAGAGACTTAGTAGACGCAGCGCGCACAGAGTTTGATTCTCAAAAACGCATAGCCCTGTATAAGCAAGCGTTAAAGATTATGACCGACGAGCATCCCTTTCTTTTTGTAGCAGAAAACGAAGTGCAGTTTGCAGTGCGTACCCGAGTAAGTGATTTTCATTTTGATACGGTGCTAGAACGCTACGATTTTCGCAATACCATGCTAGAATAAGCATACGAACTACTATTACAATGGCATCTCATGCATCTATACGTAACTCCATTGCTTTTCTCTGCTTTTTTCTTCTTTTTTTTCTTCCGTACATACTCCCTATCGATCCTCAGGGGCAGAATTTAGAGCATCGTTTAGTAGCTCCAACATTGGGAATATCCACTGGGGACAGATTTCTTTGGGCGGAATATAGCATCACGAGTGCTTTTTGCGGTAAGCAATGCTATAGTACTTTCTGTGCTTACAGTGTTTACAGCACTGTGCCTAGGTTTGGGTGTAGCAATCCTTACTCTTATGCTGGGAAAACGTTGCCTGTACATCGTAGATATATGTGCAAATTGTGTGCTTGCAATACCGGTGCTCCTTGTGTGCCTTGCTATTGCAGCGCGAACCGGAGGGGGTACGCATACTGTTGTAATAGGGCAACTGCTAGCGTTTACCCCGCTTGTGTATCGGGTTAGTAGTAGAGAATTACTTTCACATCAGCATACGCAGCATCTTAGTATTGCAAGGGATTTAGGACTAAGCAGCTGGCGAATTATAATAAAACACCAACTTCCCTCACTAAGACCTAAGTTATACAAGCAACTACCTTCCCTTATATCAATTTCTATAAGCATAGAAGCGGGGTTAAGTTACCTTGGTCTTGGTCTTCGTCGCCCACATCCTAGTTTAGGAAATCTACTCTATGATGCTCGCAATTATATTTCTATTGCACCATGGTATATTACTAGCGTTCTTGTGGCTATATCCGCTCTGCTGTTCCTTGTTATCTTATCAACACAAAACAAGCACAGATGATCTAAGTTCTTATTTTTTGCTATACTCAATATATCTATGTTTACTGTTTCTAATGTGAGCTTCTCTTTTTCTGATAAGAAACTTTTTGATGATGTAAACCTTGTGTTTCACGAGGGAAATACATATGGTGTAATAGGAGCGAATGGTGCTGGTAAATCTACATTTCTTCGCTTGCTTGCTGGAGATTTGGACTGCGATACTGGCTCTATCAATACGCAGGGCTCAATGCGCATTGCGGTGCTTAGGCAGGATCAGAACATGTTTGATGCACATTCTGTGCAGGAAACGGTCTATATGGGTCATACAGAGCTATACAGTGTTATGAAGAAGAGAGACGAGATATACCAGAAGGTAGATTTTACAGAAGAAGACGGATTAAAGGTTGCTGAGTACGAAGAGGAGTTTGCAAGTATGGGTGGATGGGAGACAGAGTCAGAAGTCGGCATACTACTTAAGGGGTTAGGGCTTGGGGATGCTATTATGGAGAAAAAGATGCAGGATCTAGAGCCTTCAGAAAAGGTGAGGGTTCTATTAGCACAAGCTTTATTTGCCAACCCTGATATACTACTTATGGACGAGCCCACCAACGGGTTAGATATAGAATCTATTCGTTGGCTAGAAGATTTTCTCCTCAAGTTTCAAAATATTGCAATAATTGTTTCGCATAACCGTCATTTTCTTAATATGGTAAGCACCCATATTTTAGATATAGATTTTACTTCTATACGATCGTATGTGGGAAATTACGATTTTTGGTTTGAGGCAAGTCAGCTTATGCAGAAACAAAAACGATTAGAAGAAAAGAGATCAGATAAATTGAAGGAGCAGTTACAGGAGTTCATACAGCGATTTTCCTCCCACAAGGCACGTGCTAAGCAGGCAACTTCAAGGAAAAAACTCTTAGAAAAGCTCGATGTTGACCAGTTACCCCAATCAACGCGACGCTTTCCGTATTTTCACTTCGATGTAGAGAGGGAATGCGGAAAATTTGTACTCGAAGTAAAGGACGTGGAAATAGCTTCCGAGGAAGAGCGGCTTCTGCAAAAATTTTCATTGCGAGTAGAGCAGGGGCAGAAAATAGCGTTTGTTGGATCTATGAACATTGTCAAAAAAGCATTGTTTGAAATGTTAGCAGGCACGCTTACTGTAGAGCAGGGGAGCATAGCATGGGGACAAACGATACAGCACAACTACTATCCAAGCGATAACTCAGATTTCTTTACAGAAGACGTACATATTTTTGATTGGCTCAAATCCTTTACCAATTCTACAGACGATCAATATATACGGGGGTTCTTAGGAAGGTTGCTTTTTAGTGGTGATGATATATTTAAGTCTGTTCAGGTTCTTTCTGGGGGAGAAAAAGCACGTTGCATGTATTCGAAAATTATGCTAAGCTCTCCTAATGTTATTATCTTAGATGAACCAACAAACCACCTCGATTTAGAGGCGATTTCATCCTTAAATGATGCTCTTATCAAATTTAAGGGGGTGCTACTTTTCAATTCTCATGACCAACAGCTTATAGAAACTGTTGCGAACAGAATTATCGAGTTCACCCCAAATGGTGTTATTGATAAATTAATGAGCTTTTCTGATTACCTTGAAGATGCTAAGGTGCAAGGTTTGCGAGATGAGATGTATAACAATACAGACGAAAAAATGTTTCTCTAGGAATGCGTGTAGCTTTCTTGCAAAGACTGTGAACAAAGTTTAATAAGCAAACCCAGCCCTTGCTACTTCCTTTTGTATTCTTTCTCTTGCAATGCTCGTGTATTTTGATTCTAGTTCGTATCCTATTACTTTTCTTTTACTTTTGTAACATGCTACAGCAGTGCTACCACTTCCTATAAATGGGTCTAGTACTGTTTGCCCCTCCTGAGTAAAGATCTTTATAAGATGTTCTAATAATGCTACTGGTTTTTGTGTAGGATGTCCGTGTTTGTCTTTTTTTTCTGTTTTCTCTACTTTCAGTACATTCGATGGAAAGTGGCCATCCATAGTAATACTTGTATCAATAAGCCCCACAGCCCATTTGTCAAAATTGTTTATAAATGTTCCTTCTAATGGTTTTTGTGCGAGCATTAGTGGCTCAAAGGCTGGTTTTAGTTGGGGGGTCTTTCTTCCATTGATTTTATTTTTTAGCCTCTCCTTTTCTTTCTGTGGTATGGGTTTTTTGTCTATAAAGTGATCTAGGGTAAATGCCTTTGCCTGTGCGCGTTTGGTGTAGTGCCACGCAAGCATATCTTTAATCCAAAATCCTGCATCCTCACTTGCCACTGTCATTCTTTGGTACAACCTTCCTTGGCTAAAAGAAATAAAAAAAGCACCTGGTACTAACACTCTGTATATTTCTTTTGCTAGTTTGGAAAAAAACTTTCCAAAGGATATACTCTGCTGTGGGCTAAATTTCATTCCCGATGGGAGGTGGGAAATAGTATTGCTGTTGGTGCTTTTAATTTTTTTGTCATTCCATGTGTCATCTAATTTGTCAATAAAATAAGGTGGGTCTGTTAGTACCATGTGTACTGAGTTATCAGGAAGTGTGGGCAAGAAGAGAAAGCAATCCCCCGTCTTTATTTGTATGTTGGTGTGTAAAGCGCTGTTGTTAATGAGAAGTCGTCCTTATGAGGTATGCAATGAGGGTGCAATAGTGTTGAGTTATAAAAAGCATACCACTATAATACCATAATTGCAGTGAATTGTAGTGCATAGAGTTATGGTGCTTGCTAAGGAACAGTAAGCTCTGCTAGTATTCGTGCTTCTTTGTGCTGAGCTAGTATAGCATTTCGTAGTTTTTCTTTCTTGTGTTCGTGCACAAGCAGTACAATAGCCCCACCAAACCCACCACCAGTAATGCGAGCCCCTAAGGCCCCATGAGCAAGTGATTCTTCGCAGAGTATGTCTATTTCAGGGATAGAACATTGGTAGAGGTCTCTTTGCGAGATATGGCTTGTGTTCATACATTCTGCGAATACCTGTATGTCACCATCAATAAGTGCTGCATACGCATCTCTTACCCGCTTGTTTTCTTGCACAACGTGTTCCACGCGCTTGCATAGTATTGTGTCCTGTAATGTGTGTGATTGCAGATCTTGCACAGATAGTTGACTAAGAGATGCTATATGCAGTTGTTTGCATGCTTCTTGGCACTGTGCGAAGCGTGTCTTGTAGCCCCCATCTCCCTCTGCTAATCTATGAGATATCCCTGAGAATACTACAAGAAATACATGATTCTTAAAGAGCGGGGCAGGTTCATAGCTAGGCTGCTTCTGGTCGTAAAAATTAATACAAAGCGCATGGTTTTCAAACGCTAGGCTTATCACCATCTGATCCATCAACCCACAAGGAAGCCCTATGTACTCATTTTCGGCACGTTGTGCCATAGTTGCTATTGTCATGTCGCCTATTTCTATAGAGAGGAGTGTTTTTACTACTCGTATTAGCGCTACCTCTAGTGCTGCAGAGCTTGAAATGCCTGCGCCAGCCGGAATAGAGGAGTGTATGTACAAAGCAAGACCGGGGAGAGGACCACGAATGTGTTTCTTTACTTCTCGTAAAGAAGCTATAACATAGTCGGTCCACATTCCTCTTTTTTTCTCTAAAAGAGATAGTGTGTGTGTTGTGCCTACAGCACGCCCGCTATCTTCTTGTTCTTCAAATGTGCTACATACAACGACTGTGTCCTCTGGTACGCTGCTGTGTATAGCGGCAGCAACATTTGTTGTAAGTGGCAGCAGTGTAGGAAGCACGAGCCCATTATTGTAGTCGGTATGCTCACCGATTAAGTTAACCCTAGCATGTGCGGATGCTATGCTCTGTGCTTTATACCCATATTGCGTATTGAATGCATGTTCTATATCTATATTACTTTTCTTAGTATCTGCACTCATAGAAATATGATACTATAAAGATAGAATACATGCCATAGAGCACACGATTGCAATGAAGAAAAAACGTCTCGTCACATCGGCGCTACCTTATGTTAATAATGTTCCACACCTTGGTAATCTTATTCAAGTGTTATCTGCGGATGCCTACGCTCGTTATTCGAGAAGCAAGGGGCATGAGACGCTCTATATTTGTGGCACAGATGAATACGGCACAGCCACAGAAACAAAAGCATTAGAGCAGGGAATAAGCCCTCAAGAACTATGTTCAAAGTACTATAACATCCATAAGGAGATATATAAGTGGTTTGAAATTGGTTTTGACAGGTTTGGAAGGACTTCCACTCCCCAGCAAACACAGATAGTGCAGAGCATTTTTTGGAATTTGCATACAAATGGATATATAGAAACAAAAACAGTAGAGCAGTTTTATTCTGAAAAAAGCAAGATGTTTCTTGCAGATCGTTACATTATGGGGACCTGCCCTAAGTGTGGATATCAGCAAGCTCGCGGAGATCAATGTGAAGATTGCGGGTCGCTACTTGACCCCACTCAACTTATAAACCCCCTGAGTAAAATTGATAATACAAGCCCCGTATTAAGAAGTAGCACACATCTGTATATTAATCTCCCTAAGATACGTCCTATGCTTGAGAAATGGCTCAATACGAAAAAGCATACTTGGTCGCATAATGCTATAAAAATGACCGAAGCTTGGATGAGAGATGGTCTAAAATCGAGAGCAATTACTAGAGATCTTAAATGGGGCATTCCCGTGCCCCTGGAGGGGTTTACCGACAAGGTATTCTATGTATGGTTTGATGCACCTATTGGGTATATATCTATCAGTGCCTGCCATAGCGATGCATGGAGAGAGTGGTGGAACAAGCCAGAGGAAGTTGAGCTTGTGCAGTTTATTGGTAAAGACAATATTCCTTTTCATACGGTTATCTTTCCTGCTTCACTTTTAGGGAGCGGTGAAACGTGGACCTTGCTTCATAGCATATCCTCCACAGAATATCTAAACTACGAAGGGGGCGCCTTCTCTAAGAGCATGGGGAGGGGCGTTTTTGGTAATGATGTAGTGGAAATTGGTCTAGATGTAGACATATGGCGTTTTTATCTCTTTTTTAATAGACCCGAGAATTCGGATTTTACTTTTACTTGGCGAGATTTCCAAGAAACAATCAACTCAGAGCTAATAAATAATTTTGCAAATTTTGCTCATAAATTCTTGCGTTCCACCATAAGTATATTGGAGAGGAACTTGTGCAGGAGGATATATTTCCCACTGAAAGTGAGAAAATATGGGCAGATATACAAAAAAAAGAAGCAGAGATAGAGCATTATTTTGAGAATACAGAATTAAGAAATGCATGTAGAGCCGTTATGAGTCTTTCTGATTATGGCAATAAGCTATTTCAATCTATGGAGCCATGGAAGTTACGTACCCATGATATGCCTAAAACACAATGGCTTATGCGCAATTTAGTGTACCTCCTACGCGATCTTGCGATACTTATAGAGCCATTTACCCCTACTTTTTCCAATAGCATATTACGAAGTCTGTACCCCAACAACAGTTCCCGTGTTGCTGTTATAGCAGAAAACGAGGAGAACACTACAGAACTTTACAAGCAATACTATACGCACTTTCATTGGGGGCTATTATGCCACCGAGATGGTATTACGCACATGGATACATTAGGGCATCTCTTGCAGAGGCTAGAGGATGATACAATTGCACGGCTTAGCAAGAAATATATTGGAACACAGGAGAAACATATGCAAAGCGAAAATAAGCAAGAAAGTGAAATCTCAAAAACAGCAGCGGAGCTATTTGCAGGAAAAGTAGAGCTCCGTATTGCTAAAATTCTTGAGGTAGAAGCACACCCAGAAGCTGACACGCTCTATATCCTTCGTTTGGACGACGGGACAGAAGAAGGAAGATGTATAGTAAGCGGGCTTCGATACCACTACGCAGAGGAAGAACTACAAGGAAAAAAGATTATAATAGTGGCGAATCTTAAGCCCGCCAAGTTTCGGGGTGTGCGTAGCAATGGGATGCTCCTTGCTGTAGAGTCTGAAGAACCCCCAGGCACTAAACGTTTAGAGGTATTATTTGCAGACGAGTTTCAGGTGGGGTCCCAGGTACTTCCCAAAGGGGGTGTGGGGGCAGAGGGATATACACAGCTCAAGATAGACAAGTTTGCAGACTTTAGCATCGTAGCATCTAAGCATAAGGTGGAAATAGATGGAGTTCCCCTTGCTGTAGGTGAAGAGGAGCTACGAACAAAAAACATATCAGATGGCAGGGTGGGCTAGCACCACTTCTGTATAAGTTACAGCACTGCTTTGATGTGCTTTCTATAAACTGTGCTTTTGTACACCTCGCGATAAGAGCATGAGTACATTGTTATCTATGACAGAACAAGACATACAAATAGAGAAAATAGACCCAGCAGCTGTGGAGAGCGCGTACATGCATCACAGTGCCATGTGGGGGGAGCTAAAACAGAGTGTGGGGTGGAAGCAGCATGCGTTTCGACAGCACACATATAAAGAACTTGAAAGCGATGTACTACTCTTAGTAAAAAAAAATACCTCTGCTTGGGTATTTTGCATATTGCGCTGATGGTTTTCTTCCTATAAGTGCTATTCGATGTTGTGCTGTGGAAGAAAACAGAAACAATACACAAGCATACAGCACGTGCAACGCAGAAGTAGAGCTATCTCATATAGAACAGGGCACTGTTCAAGCTCTTTGCGTGCTTATGGGTATATACAAAGCGCTACAAACCGAATACAATGACAGACTCTTTGCGTTACGCTGGGACATGCCAAGTGTATTAGCAATGAATCATGCAAAAGCCGAAGTATTTGCTAGCAGGGTGTTTTTTCAAAAGATACACTTTAGTCTTACAAAAACATGCCCAAGATCTTATATATCATATACTGTATCACAAAAAAGTTTTGTACAGGCTCCAACAACTGTTCTTGTACCACTTATGGGTAAGGGAGAAAAAACAGAGATACAGGTATTAGGTAAAGATGAGCTGTTGGCGTCTTTTAAGCAAAAAACACGTTACAATATCCGCGTAGCGCAAAAACATGGAGTGCGTGTACAGAGCAATATTAGCCTAGATGCTTTTTTTACACTACTTGAGGAAACCGCTCTAAGAAATGGCATAGCCATACATTCCTTGCGCTACTTTAAGAGCATGCAGAAGGCAGTAGCTAAGAGCAAGGATATGAAATTACTCTGCTATGGGGCATTTCTAGGGGAAATATTGCTTGCTGCAGCTCTTGTATTGTATGTTGTACCTAGCAAGAACGACGCAGGGTATGCTGTGTATCTCTATGGAGCTTCGAGCGGGAGACATAGAAACGTTATGCCAACCTACCAGTTGCATTGGCAGATACTTCTAGAACTACAAAGAATGAACTGTGCATATTACGATTTCTTTGGCGTCGCTCGTTCTTCTCGTGTACGTGATAGGATGCATGGTTTGTATAGATTCAAAACTGGATTTTCTAAAACGCTGTGGGTAAGGCCTTGCGCCTTTCATATAGGAGGTGGTAACATTCTTGCCCGAGTAAGAGGCTATATTTTTACTTTGTTAGAGTTTATACGAAGATACTATTTTTTTGTGTTAAAAAAGAAACTACGATGGAAACGGAAGATACGAGAGTAATACAACAACGCATTAAGCGAACTATCTTTATCGATGCCGATGCGTGTAAAAGAAACATAAGGGAGTACCTTATTGCATTTGTCGAGCGAGAGGCACAGGAAGGAGTAGAACTTACGATTGTAGCAGATAGAACTATAACACTTCCTTCTAATAGTAAAAGTGTTTTTGTTCTTGTTCAAAGTGACACTGATGCAGCAGATACATATATAGTAAAACATGCGAGAGTAGGAGATCTCGTTATCACGCGTGACACTGCCCTAGCAGAGCGTCTATTACATAAGCTGGTGCTTGTTGTATCAGATGCCGGGGAGCAATATGAACAACAAAACATATCAGGAAGAAGAAAAATGGCAGGTATACGCAAAGAGGCACGTCGCTACATGGAAGATAAATTAACAATGGGCTTACTCCAACGACAGAAGGCAGAGAAGAAATCTTTTCTACATTTTACTCGTCTTATACAGCAATGGCTTTTGTACAAAAAAGAGCTGTAATGTGCAATGGGCTTTTGATATAACGCAAAAAACAAAAAATTGTTTCATTTTAGCATATAAGCCCTTGCATAGAAAACCCGTGTATCATATAATAAATACATAAAAGAAAATAATAGAAGCATAAATTACATTTATGTAGTAAGGGAGATAATATGAATTCAAATGAGTTGATGTCGCATATCAAAGAAAACAATATTGAATATGTAGATATACAGTTTGGTGATATCTTTGGAAGATTACACCATATTACTTTGATAGCAAAAGAGCTAGACGAAGGTAAACTAGAAGAGGGTATTCCTTTTGATGGTTCTTCGATCCGTGCATGGCAAGGCATTGAAAAATCAGATATGCTTTTTATACCTGATCTTAAAACTATGTTTATTGACCCATTCCGTTCGAGGAAAACCCTCATATTATATGGAGATATTGTTGATCCTAGAACGGGTGAGTTGTATAACAAATCTCCAAGAAGTATAGCAAAACGTGCATCAGAGTACTTAAAGAGTACAGGAACAGGAGATAAGGTGTTTTTTGGTCCAGAACCAGAGTTCTTTCTCTTTGATAGTGCAAATTATGAGGTAAGTAGTAATAGAGCAATGTATGAGGTAGATACTTCTGAGGGGCCCTGGAATTCTGGCTTGGATATTGGAGCGCATGGAAATGCCATTCAGGCAAAGGAAGGGTATCTTCCTAGCTCCCCCCAAGACAGCTGTACAGATCTTCGATCTGAGATTACCAGCAATATGCAGGCTATGGGGCTTACAGTATACTTGCATCACCATGAGGTAGCTACAGCACAAGCAGAAATAGGGGTAAAATTTGACGAGGGGATGTATAGTGGAGATATAGTACATAAATATAAGTACGCAGTAAAAAACACAGCACACCAACATGGGAAAACTGCAACATTTATGCCTAAGACGCTTTTTGGAGACAATGGAAGTGGTATGCATGTGCATATGTCTATTTGGAAAGAGGAAAAGAATCTTTTTGCAGGAGATAAGTACGCCAACCTCTCTCAGACCGCGCTCTATGCAATAGGAGGTTTACTTAAGCATGGAAGAGCGCTCCAAGCGTTTACCAATCCCACAGTCAATAGTTTTCGAAGACTCGTTCCTGGATACGAGGCTCCTGTGCGTTTAGCATATAGCGCAGCAAACAGATCTGCAGCGATACGTATTCCGTATGTAAAAAGTGAGAAAGCAAGGCGTTTTGAATTTCGTTGTGGTGATGCATCTGGAAGCCCCTATCTTTCTTTCGCCGCACTGACAATGGCTATGATAGATGGTATTAGAAACCAGGTTGATCCAGGTGACGCAATGGATAGAAACATCTATGACCTTCCACCTGAACAGTTAAAGGGTATTCCTTCTACCTGCCAGAACCTAGAAGAGGCATTGGATGAAATGGTAAAAAGCAAGGATTTTCTTACCGCAGGGGATGTTTTTAGTGAAGATTTTATCGATTCGTATGTATCGTATAAGAAAGAAAACGAAATTGAACCCATGAAGCTGTACCCTACAGCACTAGAGTATCAGCTGTATTATACATGCTAACACAATAAGAATCTATATTACTTGCTATAGCTTACTACCGCTTGCTATTGCAAGTAATAGCCATGCAAATACACCTGCATTGTGTACGAAAGCTGTACGTGCTTTATAATGCTATAACGCTATAATGTTACATCATAGCAACTGTTTTATACCGCTAGTACTATGTAGTTATATATACACTGCACTACGAGAATTGCTGTGGTGCTAACACGTAGTGTAGGTGGTGTTGAGTTTAGTTGCATATTCTTTAAGTATCTGTTCTTGCGTACGTTTTACTTGCTTATTCTACACGAGTAGGGCTATGGGTATAGCAGTTCCTTGCTTGCACGAATGATGTAGTCGTCGGTCATGCCTGCTATAAAGTCGATAAGCAACTGCTTTTTG